CTCTGCACCAATGGTTCGAGCCAACTGGACTGACTCCACTATGAGACGAAAAAACGTCTACTCACGTGACATCCAGGAGCTGTTTGTAGATGCTGTTGACCGTGTCCCACTTGAGCAGCTTGGTGCACACGGCGGCCAGGCGCGTCTCGCGCAGGTTGAGTTCGTTGCCAAGTTGTCCTGTTGGGGGAATAACACACACAACAGTGACAGCTGGTGAGCTCAATGCTGAGCTGTGCTATCAGAGATAACACATTCAGCCATAAAATTGTTATTTATATTTTTAAAAATTTTTAAAGAAAAAGGAAATATGAAAAGTTCTAGGTGCGTCACATTTTCAGGGGTGTCATCAAAATTGACAGCACAAATGCTTTGCCAGTGTGTAGTGTTTGTGTGTGTGTGTTTGCGCGTGTGTGTGTGTGTGTGCGTGTATAGTGTGTGTGTGTAGAGTGTGTGTGTGTGTGTGTGTAGAGTGTGTGTGTGTATGTGTGTGTGTAGTTTGTGTGTGTAGTTTGTCTGTATGTGTACACTTGTAAGCTCACAAGCAGGTGTGTGTCTCAATATACCAGCATATTGTAAGCCAGTTTTGTCTGTATACCTACATGCTACACGCCCGACAGTTGTCAAAATCCAAAAGGTCGAAAATGCCCAGATTATTGTTGCATAAGCATTATCCATCTTCAACTGAACATAAATTTGACTTGCTATACATACAGTGAAAATCTACATACAACACATTACACAGCACACATTTGCCCCTTGCAAACCCCACCTCAGCACCTGCCAACCACCCACTGATTACGTGTACAGAGTATATTAGGTCGCTTTTAAGGACAAGGGGGCTATCCCCATAAATACTGTTTTGAGAAAATCGAAGTTAAACTTTTGGGATCCTTATTCAGTTTCTTTAAAAGACAAGGAGAGTTTTCTCTATAACCAAACAAATATACACACCAATGAAACCAAACTTCTCCTATTGGTAGGTCAATGCCCACTTTTGGTGTAAGACAAGATTTCTAGAACCCCCCGAAATCTGGGTCAGCCCACTTGTCCTTAAAAGTGACCAATCTATCATCATCATCAATGCCTTTCACCCCTGGCAGGGTATAGTCAACACACAAGCTCCTTCCATTTATCTCTGTCCTGAGCCATCCTACCTAGCTCGTTCCAAGAGAGCTTCACCTCTCTCATGTCCCTTTCCACACATCTCCTCCATGTTTCCTGTGGCCTACCCCTGCCTCGTGCTCCCTGTGGGTTCCACTGCAGTGACTGTCTTGTGATGTTTCCGCTGGGCTTTCTTAACCTCTACTTTTTTTTTCTTTTTCCTGGTATATTTTTTACATTGTATTTTATTTAAGGTGTGCCACCAATTTAAGCATGTGTTAAAAAGTGAATGCCTGTCTTACCTCCCATGGGTCCTTCCAGAACGGCCAGCGCTTCCTCCCACTTTTCTTCCAGTTCCAGAATGATGAGATACAACAAGATCTCTGAGGACCAGATATATAACAACTGTAACAAAATCACTAAGATCCTGATACCATCAGGCAGAGGTTCCCCTAGTTTTAGTTTTAGTAGAGGTTTTACGGCGCTCACAACAGCATAAGGTCATGTGAGTACCAGAAGATTAGAGGTGTTACAAGAGAGTAACAAACATAAAAAAGAAGGAGGGGAGATAAAGACGATAGATGTTTGATAGGAAAGAAGAAGCAAACCACACCAGAGCACCCGCCAACCACCAACTGAGAGGTGTGTGTATGTCATAAAACTACATGCCATAATGTTATAACCTCACGCACCAACATGCTTAACATTGTTTCAGTAAGAGTTTTACAGCATTTACAACACAATAAGGTCATATAAGTGCTGAAGATTAGAGGCGCTACAAGAGAGTAACAAACACAAAAAAGGAGGAGAGATCTTTTCTTTTTTTTTACAGTAGAGGGTTTTATGGCGCTCGCAACTGCATAAGGTCATATGAGCGCCAAGGGGTGGGTGTCAACAGAGAAGTCTTTACAGGGAATCAGACTTATTCTGCTCACCTCTCTAGCTTCAACAGCACAAGGTCTGCTTCGACTATCAAGGCACCCCAAAATAGCAGGTCACAAGAGAGTGACAAACATACAAAAGAAGTAGAGGAAAATGACAATAGTAAGGATCAGGAAAGAAAAAGCAGCAGTTCCCTGCTGCAGATCAGGCACAGTTATGAGCGTGACATGAATCATCCCATTTACAATTCTGTGTTTGAACGAGAAATGTCCCCCTTTGGGAATGTCCTAAAGACACTACAGTCAGTGGCACTGCCCCGGGGGGTGGAGGAGAGATCAGGACGATAGATGTCTGATAGGAAAGAAGGAGCACACCACACCAGAGCACCCGTCAACCACCCACTCACCTGCTTCTGCCTCAATCTTTTCTTCCTTGATGTACTTCTGCGTCATCTTTTCCGCTAGAGGGAGGTACATGCTGAGTCCAAGCGCACGGTCTTTGTGAGCCTGCGGAAACATCCAACAGTACAGGTCTACCATGTATCGTCATCATCATCATCATCATCAATATCATGTTTCAAAGTAGGAAAAAAATATATACTTGAGACTTGAACTTGAATAGGGTTCTTGAATAGGGTTGTTCACGTTTAATCAGATGTTCGTACAGGCCTCAATGTTCATCATCATCATCACCATCATCATCATCACAATTCTTGACACACATAGCCACCCTTCTTCAGGAGCAAAAATTAAAATAACAGCAGCAGTTTTAGTTTTAGTAAGCGTTTTACGGCACTTGCAACACAACACAATGAGGTCCTAAAAGTGCCGAAGATAAGAGGTGTTACAAGAGAGTAACAAACACAAAAAAGAAGAAGGGGAGATAAGGATGATAGAAGCTTCATAGGAAAGAAAAACAAACCACACCAGAGCACCTAAAAAAATAAGACAAATGACCCCAAAAAAAAGTCAACCATGTATTCCTGCTGTACTCAAACGCAGTTTTGTGAGCGCTCAAAACAAAATAACAGAACAGATTTAATCTGAACAGTTTGGAAATATTTATCGAATTTGTATTTTTTTGCTTAATCTCTTTAATGTCCATATAAATACACATTTCCATGTGAATTTCACTGAAAACCATTGATTAAAGGCACAAAATCTTTCATTTTTCAAAGACTCTTTAGCTACTGGAGCTACCAAACTTTGGCGATCATTTTCTTGCTAATTTCACCACAGAAACCAGGCGACCTCACTTTCTTCAATCGCAAATATCTTGAGTTCTATCCAAGATAGATGGATGTTTTTTCATCAAAAGCAAGACAAATGAACAAGCTTTATGATGATACCAATAAATCCAAATGCCAAAAAAATTGACGAGCGCCTGCTTCAACCACGGCGCAACACATTTATAGTCCCCCCCGCCCCAACCCCACACACATACAGTACTTGTGAAAGCCCACAATAAACACCCGTCGTTCTCACCTGCATCACAATACTCATGACCGCCCAGAAATAGTACGGGTTCTTCGCCGGCCTCAGCTTGTGGAGCATCATGGCTGTGCGCTGCTGCTGCTGGTAGTTGCCGAGCCGAACATGAGCCATAAATAGACACGACAGAATATCCTCATTGGCCGGCTGATGCCGCGCTGCTGCTTCATAGAGGCTCGCAATCAGGGGATCTAAGAGAGATAAACGCAATAAATGAGAAACCTGAAATAGTCCCACAGCATTTATCATAAAGAACTAGCAGCGAGTTTCTTAAATTTAGATTCCTATGACTGTCAATGTGATACATTATATCGATAGAGAGAGATAATGGCTAAAACAGCACCTGGACATGGATGGCTGGTGCCTCTATAAAAAAATCATTGATGGTCAAGAGAAAGATGATTAAAAATAAGGCGAGATATAAAATAAACTAAAGCCATCCCATGTTAAAAAACGAGTGCAGCAACAAGATAAAAAATACAAGTAAATTCACTTCTTCTCCACTGTTTGTCTGATCGCACTTAGTTGCCCTTACTACTGACTGACAGAAGCTGATGATCATTAAACTTATTCACTGATAATAGTAGAGTAAAACATTGGCAGAGTACACCTTTTAAATACATAGCCAAAATCTGGCTACAAATTGAAATAAATGAATTTTTTTCCAGATCCCACAAATCCACTGCTTCAATGGTGTGTATGCTTAAATTTCTACACCTTTTAAATTAATAAGATGAATATTTGGAGTGATTTTCTTTTAGTCAAAACACAACGTTTTATGTTACTGTTGTACGTTGTGCTGTATTGTAAAGCCCTCAGAGCCTGTGTGTAACTTTAATCGGGGTTGATCCCTATAAATGTCATTTATTATTGTTATTATTATTATGTTTTCTGTTATGAAGAGGGTAAGTTCTACCGCGGTCTGCACATAGCAGCAGACAAGCACTGACACTGTTGTGTCTCCTTGTAGCAGATAGCCATGGCACTCAGCGTCTGCTCGTCCGTGGGCTCCGAGGCGTGGATGGCGGTCAACATGGAGGAGCCCTCTGATACACGGCCCATGCGCAGCAAAGCCAGAGCTTTCAGCACCTAAAAAAAAAAAGCACGAAATCTGTTAACACTTCGCCGCCTCATCTCGCCGATGTTTACCACCCAGTTTCTTTGGATTTTCCCCCAAAATGCCTTTGTCTTTGATGGCAAGAGTTTTTACTCTACTAGCCAAATGGTGGCAAAGTGTTAATCAAACATAAATGTCAAGATAGCGTCTTCAACTGACTTGGAGAGCCTGTGTACACCCCCCCCCCCCCCCCCCACAAACACACCTTTGCATCTGATGCTACGAAAGGTGAGGATCTCACTTCATACAAATTACCCCCCCCCCCCACCCCCATTCTTTCTTTCTTTCTTTCTAGGCATTGTCCATCCACTGCAGGAAGCAACCGGCCAACAACGAACTCTACTTTGTTTTATCAATAGTTTTCACATGTCCAGGTTCTATTATAAATTCGTCTGCTCTCAGATGTCATCTCATCTTGCCACCCTTCTTTCCAAGATGGTCTTCCTCTTGATCTTCTTTGTTCTTCATCTCCATTTCAGAGCTTCTTTAAATTGTCCATCTGTTGTCTTTCACTCTGCAGACGTGACCAGCCCGTTTCCATTTTAGTCTGAGTAAAAATTTGGGGATAACTGTCACTCCTGTTTTCTTTCGTATGTTTGTGTGTTTCATGATTTGATCTTATTTTCTTATAATTAATGCTCAGAATCTTCTTTTCCATAGTGTCGTCCACAATTTCTATGGTATTTTTAGTAATCGGCAAAGTTTAACACCCATAGCATGACTGGGACAAGGTCCTGATTGAAACCTCTTGCCTTACAATTACTTATATCATGTATGCACAGCAATACACTCGAAAACCTTTCCATGTTTCTCACCTTTGCACATGTCAGGTCCTTCTGTTTCTTCAGCACTTTGTCTGCCTCTTGGATGGCTTTTTTGTTATTGCCATTGTCGAGGCAGTCTGAAAGTAAAAAGTGAAAGGCGCAAATCAAGAAAACACATTATAAAGAGTGTCAAATACAAATACAGCATGATGAGAGCATCTAGATCTACACGTCATGATTACAACTTCTTTCCGATATCACAAAAGATTTCCCCTACCAGGTCTGCATACTTCGTGACGTCGCTCCCGGTTACCGGGTCTATATACACTTCGTTCTCTCCATAGGCCTATCGGCACGCTCATCAACAAGTAATCATTTAGAACCAGAAGTAATTGTCGGTGGGATCAAAACTAGCATCCCCAAACGGGACGCAATTGTACAGGAGTGCCCCTTACTCCCCCTTACTAAGGGCCAGTTTGCCCTAGATCTATTCCATTTTAAAATGTGCAGAATCTAACATAAAAGTAGGCTATAAATAAAGTAGTAGGCAAACGATTGTGATTGTTAAAACAGTTAATTTTTTGGGTAAAACACTGTCACTGGCTAAGCTAAGCGCAATGCTCATGGATGGGCCACAAAAGTAGTAATTAATGAGTGGTTGAGAAGTTACAAAATTAGGCCTAATCTATCTAGATGACAAAAAAATAAGCAAACCACTTGTTTTCTTTACAATTAAAAAATTAAGCCTACACTTTCATATTCATAGTGAGTGTGTAAATCTAACTTCATAGTTCTAGGAGGCCTCACAGTCCCTCTAAGTGACAGTAGGACGTTATAATCATGTAGATTCGTAAATTTCGCCTTTTACATATACAAGGCAGTCTCCATAGACAAGACCTAGGAGAAACTAGACCAGGAACAACACAGGCTGGGGACACACCATCGTTGTTGCCTGCTAGATTCTCTGACATGTACCCACACCTACACACACAACAGTAGCAGTAGTCAAGAAGTACACAACAAGATAGTCCGACAGTGGGAGCCGGTGATTGCTTCCTTCCATAACTAAGAAATACTGACTTCCCTGTAATAGCTCTACCTAAGAAAAGGCCCCTCAGCTACTAAACAGGGTTTCAAAGCCAGCAATTCAGTCTATTGCATTATATACCAACCATATATTGGCCGCAATCGCCGTTCATTTACATCCACATGGCTACGGGACGCCATCTTCTCAATGCTCAATGGCAAGCAGAACGATCGACATTAATCCTGAGCTAGATTACAAAGTAAAGGGCGAAAAACTGTAGCGCTTGTATAAACCGGAAGTAGTCAGCAGAAACGACAAAGGCCTGCTTTGCTGTTGTTAAGTAGCCTACCCTATTGCAAATTTCGCTTTTCAGCGTAGATAAAGGAGCATTCTTAGGAATCACAAAAGCAAGAAAACCACTATTTAGATTAAGTGTTGATAAAAAAGTCTTTTTCTTTAATTATCTGAAAAAGAAAAATATGATTCCAGATCCAGATATCTAGTTATTTTGAAATCAATATTATTAATGGAGTTACTTAATTGTATTTCTGACATAAGTCGAAAAACAAGTGGCAGCTCCATGGCTGATATTTCAAATACTGAAGTTTGCTCATAGTACAAATCCATTATTTAAAGTCCTCAATAGAAATATAATCTTTCACTTCAAATGGAAAAAAATGTGCCCTCTCTCCACACACACCCCCCTCCCTCTTCTTCTCCTCCTCCTCTTCCTTCTCCTCGTCCTCCTCCTCCTTCTTCTTCTTCTCCTCCTCCTTCTTCTTCTTCTTCTTCTTCTTCTTCTTCTTCTTCTTCTTTTTCTTCTTCTAATGCTTAGATACTGGATCTGGATCTTGATGAAAAGGATCTTATGAAGAGGCGGAGGCTCGATCGTGGTTTGTGAAACTGACCGGCTATCATGGGTTGTCTACAGTTGTGATGCAGTGAAAATTTCAACTACTGGTACTAATAATAATTTGTAGATTTCTATTTGCGTATTTATTATGCCATTGTAAAACAAATTTCATCAAGTTCCCTTAATTAAGTGGGACAGATCCAGCTTTAGCGGTAGTGGAGAATGCTTGAAACAAAAGAAAAGAAGGGGGGGGGGGGAAAGCAGACAGCATTAGAGTCTCCCCTCAATACCGTAAGGTAGCAGAAACCAGTTAACTACAGAGACCAATTTAAGAGGAGAGTTAGACAAAGACAGCCGATAGGTATAGAGTTGGCCTTTGCCATTTTTCTTTTTCTCTGAGAAACAATCTTTTCAAACTACCATGACAGACAACATCAGCATTATGAAAGGAACTAGACTCTCTATCTGCTTACCTCCACCAGAGAGTCTGCTTGATTAAAAATTATCTGCCGTTGCGCACTTATTTGAGATTCCCCAGTCCTCTAATGTGAGAAATCTAGGTCATCTTTAAATATCGATGAGCAAAAGAGATCTCGCATTGTACGACAATCTACGGTAGAATTTACAAGGAAATGTTTTACACATATTATGATGACGTCATTTTAGTATTGATTCTGAAAAACAAACGCCGGCTTCGTGTATAGCGTTTTAGTATTTCGGTTTTTGAATAATAATAAAGATATGAAAACACAGATAAAATTGTATTGGTGAAAGGAAGACCAGTGATTTGATTTTTACTTTGATCCGGTCAAATTTTGCTCTTCTCTGGTCCAGTGAGGCGTGACCAAGTACAAGTAATGCACACTTCATAATAAGACGAGTAAAAATGAAAGCGAAAGTAGGATAGGAAACGGGAATTCCTTCGTACTAAAAAACATTCAATTTTTAACTGTCTATTTTTTTGTTCGCTTTTGTGCAAGTCAATCGCTGTACTTTGAGTCTGTCAATTTTTGACAAGAAAAAATTACGACTTGCGAGAGAATTTAGATAATTACGTCCTTTAAGTTAGATCTAGCTAATTCACAATTGCATTCATAACAGCTCTGGTGGTGCAATCCCTTCCTCCTACTGAACTGTCATGATCGATTCTTCCTTCAACCAAAAACAACGACTAACTTGCTAAATTTAGCACTTGGTCTTATTATGAGTAGCCTTATAAACGAATGTGAAAGCCCGAGGAACCGTGTTTGATCCTGCATTCATTTTTCTTGTTCACGAGCTACCAGGCACTTAATGCAAGTGGGGAGAGGAGTTCATTTAGTTAGTTTGATAAAGACGACGAAGTGTAAGGTATACTATCCATGCAATGTGTCTAGTTTTACTGTTATATCCACTGTAGGGCTACTGACTGTTTTACTGTGACTTAGAATCTAGAGATTCTAGATCTACAGGACTTGGGCAAGTTGGGGTAACCTACCCCTAGCCTACCCTACCCAAAATAAAAGATAAACAGAAGGCTAGTTATAGTTTTATATAGAGGGTTAAGACCCCTCCAACAAATATTGTGAAATGTTCTTCTATCGACTGTAGGCTAAAAAGAATAAACTATTTTCGGATCCGAACTATTTTAAGAATGATTTTAGATTATGAAGCGTGTTAACAAATTAATGAGTTATAAACTTCTCGCAATCTACACCTGGAGATATTTTTAGAAAATAGACACGTTAAATTTGTACATTTTAGTTTTAAACATATATGTTCTTTTATCATCTCATACAATAAAAAATAGATCTATCTATATAAATCTTTCTGTCTATCTATCTTTATAGAGGCCTATATAT